TTCATATCTTGCAATTCTGACTTTATAACACGCAGTTGTGAGTTATAAAGTCAGAACTGCGTGATATAAACTCGAAATTGCGAGTTATAAAGTCAAAATTGCGAGATATAAAGTCGTAATTCTTTTTGAGTTTTTTTCTCGCAATTTCGAGTTTATATCACGCAGTTCTGACTTTATAACTCACAATTGCGTGTTATAAAGTTAGAAAAAAGTTTTTAGTGGTGGAAACGGGCTTCCATACTTAACACATTCAGCGGCCATCAATAATAAAGAAAGTGGCGTCTGACAAACCGATTCCTTCAGTATGTCATGGGTTTACCTTCTTCTGCAGAAGACAGTGGAAGATGAAGATGAACAGCCCTTGTAAGGTGTTGAAGATAGTGAAGAGGTACGCCATGATTCCTGAAGAGTCGTTCAAGAAAAACAGGCCGAACGACCACGTCAGGCAAACCAGACACAGCAGTGCAAAAGCACCAAACACCCAGGACCTGAAAACCACAGGATTACAGTTAGAAATACATTTCATAGCCTTCTTTTATCTACCCAGGCTCATTGGAAATACGTGCCTCTACCTACATTTCTGCAAAAACGTACCTAAACGTATGAATCGCTGCAGTTTCCAGTTTAAATGAACACTAGAGGCGGCAAAACTCTGACAACTTTTATTCCTTTTCACACAAAGTATGATTAACAGGGCCAGAGTTTCTATTAAGAAAGCCACATTTTCACACAGTTCCTTGCAGAATATTAAGTTACGACCAAAACGATTTTAACATGCGTTAGTGTCACATATGCAGCTCAATATGTATGGGTTTTCTAATTCAGTAGATCTCCTCGGTGATATGATATTGCACTTGTGAGCTGAAGCCTGTGTATAAGAGAAATTAAAATAGCGCAAATGCCTTTTTAATAACACTTTTGCTTTCGTTAACTTGTCATAGCATTTGCTTATTATTGTTATTTTGTTGGTTTTGATTGCTTCTATTGTTCTCGCTTTGGATAAAAGCGTCAGCTAAATGACTAAATGTAAATGTTAACACTCTCGGGTAGGGTTTGGCGTAGAGGGTTTGTTATTTTCCAACATGAAAAAATACTATAGTAATTTATAGTAAATACTATAGTGTTTTTGAACCATACTATAGTAAAGTGTATTATACTGTATATATTATAGTATTTACAACACTTTGTTAATGAATGCAACAGCATACTGTAGTATTAACTATAGTGAACTGATAAACTGTAATAAATCCTGTACTGTAAACTGTAGTGCATTGTAATATAATATACCCTATAATTGTAGAAATAGTCATTTGTTTATATTACTACAGTTGCTATATTACCACAGCATCTATAGAATTACCACAACAAATTAATTCAACTATGTTACTATAGTATGGTTCAAAAACACTTTACTATAAATTACTATAGTATTTTTTCATGTGGGGATGGAGCATTAATCTTTTAGCAACACTCACCAGACATTTGAATTCTGAACAATATGTACCAGAAGCAACATAATAAAAACACCACAATATATGCCTGCACTAACGTAATAAAAGCGAGCCAAGGTCACGTATTGAATTGCGTGTTTTAACGCCACTCACTGGATATTTCACTTTGAAACTGCCACAATAAGGTACGTAACATCCGTGCAGCACAAGCACGTATTTCCAATCAGCCTGGGTTGCTTTTGTGAGCAATATCATACAATATCTGTTTATAAGCGCCAAACTCTCAGCAAAGCCTGACGTAATGTTTCTAATGATAAATAAATACATTTTTACGTCTCTGTTATCATTTATGACTTTCATAGCATATAATATAACACTATGTAAGTCAATGGGTACCAGAGACATTTTGGTTACCCACATTCTTTAAAATATCTTCTTTTGTGTTCAGCAAAAGACAAACTCATACAGGTTTGGAACGACTTGAGGGTGAATAAATGGGCCAACCAGACTATCCCTTTAATGTCAATTAACAGAAGTTAGATTGCATTAGCTTTGTGTGTTTCTGAATTAGTTTATAGCTGTTTTATGCATTTATTCAATCTCACTGACATCATTGTTGATTATAATGACAGCACTGAGTCGGTGAGGTCATGCTGAGCAAAACGCTGCTGATTTGAGTGGATTTGAGCTTATTTCCTCTCCGTCAGTGACTTAGTTAATTGTCTTTGATTGGCTATTGCATTCATGTGCTATGTTTTACTCCCAATACTCAAACACAAATGAAAAAAAACTAAATACTTCTATAAATTCAAGCCATTAGACCACCCAGCCGTGTATCACTGGACTCTTTCCCATTAGAGATTCCAGCCAATATTTCTGTGGATCAAATGTCCTGAACAGACGATCCCTTCTAATGGACATGACAAGAGCAGATTTCACGGCCCCCAGATGCAAGTTTAAAAGTAATTACGACTTTGGGTCCAATAAAACATCTTGCTTATCATCCCATTGTACGGCCCATCTGGAAATATGCATTTAGTTCCCAAGGACAATGTTTATAAGAGGGTCAGACTGTGCTCTCACATTGCAGGAAGCAAATTAATTAGTTAATGTTTTCTGTAATTATTCCCATAAACCCCAATTAGCTGTATTTGAGTATTTACACGTCCAGCTCCAGATGCAACCTCTACCTCATGAACCGGTTCATTCAGCCACAATGCAACGGCCACGCTGTTGTTATTAGCATCTTGACAATTTGAATGAAGCAATCAGGATGATAAGTTGCGACAGCAAAATAACGAAGTTCTAAACATGAAAGAAAACGTCAGAATGTAAAATTGCACAGCTGCTAAGCGTGTAAGACAGTATTGAAGACTGAGCTTACCGTATGCTCTCCAGTCGGCTGGAATCAGGTTTCATAGACATTGAGTGCTTTACCATCTTGTACATAGTCACCACCAGAAAGATGAGATTGAGCTGTCGGAAAAGATAAAGCATGTTGAGAAGACCACACAGCTCTTGGAAATCACGATTGCAATTCATCATTCAGATGGCATATTTGTCAAACATCATTTCATATTTACATTCACATTCCTAAGAGCACCGTGCAATGATCTTTCTTGGGATCTGTGATCACCAGGTTATTAGACGGCTATCAATGGAATTGAAAAATAAAAATAAAGCACCTTTTATGTTGGCTGATCTGAACTACAAAGCATAGCCTACAATAATTCAAAAAGCAGACAGCAACGTCAAAATGCAAGAATGCATGAACTCTGCTGGGAGTTTCCAAGACATCTCATAAACTATGGTTTTATGCATGGACCATTTGAAAAGGTCTTGAAAATTTTCTATTTTTAATCATTCTTAGCATGACAATTGAAATAGATTTTGGATGAAGACGTGATTCAAGTCAGTACAGAAGCTTGTAAGAACGTTGATATTTCTCGAGACATAAACTATCACCCAGAAAACAAAGTGCTACCATTTGTTCCTAACTCTGATCTTAAAGATTATCGGAGACAAACTGTGCGTAGGCGCCTTCTCAGACGAGCGTAAGTCATAACTTTGGCCCTGAAAATGTCTGCTTGCTGGCAAGAGCTTGTGTTTTTCTTCACCGCCCTGAACATGGGGATGTAATTCAGGCTGAGCAGAGAAGACCTCTTAAAGAAACATACTTCAGGAAACAAAAAATGAGTATCATCTATATTAAATATGTGGAACAAGAATAGAGCACCTCTATTAAAAGAAGCTTGTCTTAATTCAGTTGGTGGTGACAAAAGTTATTTTGTCCCCAGACTTTCCAAATGTCCCCCTATATATGTGACCCTGGACCACAAAACCAGTCATAAGGGTCAATTTTTCATCATCTGAAAGCTGAATAAATAAGCTTTCCATTGATGTATGGTTTGTTAGGATTGGACAATATTTGGCCGAGATACAACTATTTGAGGGTGCAAAAAAATCTAAATATTGAGAAAATCGCCTTTAAAGTCATCCAAATGAAGTTCTTAGCAATGCATATTATTAATCAAAAATTAAGTTTTAATATATTTATGGTAAGAAATTTACAAAATATCTTCATGGAACATGATCTTTACTTAATATCCTAATGATTTTTGGCATAAAAGAAAAATCGATCATTTTGACCCATACAGTGTATTGTTGGCTATTGCTACAAATATACCCCAGCGACTTAAGACTGCTTTTGTGCTCCAGGGTCACATATTATAACAATATCCTGATTTTAGAAGCTCTCGCTACACAGTTTACTTGATTAAATTCTCAAAAACACAAGTCTAAAATGGCATAAAAGTAAGTGGAGAACTATTTTTAAACTATATATTTTTGAAACTATGTTTTATTCCAAAATGTGGGTCACATATTGAAAATGTAAAGCACATGTTGTTAGATTAGTATATTGTGTTTGACTTCAATCCAAAATGAGTAAACCTACATTACAAATAAGTGAGCACATTTAGCTTTGCATACAAGAGAATGAAAAACACACATCTGGTTTATTTCTTGGAGGCGCACACACACACACACACACACACACACACACACACACACAAACACACACACAGGTTTGTTTTTGTGAAAAGTGGGGACATCCCATAGGCGTAATGGTTTTTATACTGTACAGACCGTATATTCTATTGCCCTACACCAACCCTACCCCTAGACCTACCCCTCACAGACACACACACACACACACACACAGACACACACAGACACACACAGACACACACAGACACACACACACACACTGTATATACAGAATGCAGCTAGAGAGAGAAAAAGAATATGCCTTTTGAAAAGAAAGGCACTGAATTCTTTGCTCCGTCGATCATCAACATAAACCACATGTAAACACCAAAGAATTCAACTCATTTTTCAGAGCCTTTCAAATAAGGAGTGCCTGCTCTAAAACAGAAAGAATTACAGAAAGAGCAGGACTGGGGGAGATGAAGACTAAAAGCAAGAAAGAAAGAAAAAAGAAAATCACATTTTGAACAATTGCAAATGATTTGTTTAAATCTATATATACTTTGCATTTGGCAGTACTTTAGAATTGTTCGCTACTTCTATTTGACTTATCCAAAGCTATTTACTTACTGTAGAATATGGCACATAAACATGCTGCAACTCGTATTGCAAAGCAACTTTTACAATGCAATTAAAAGCCATGTTTGTAAAAGAAATAATAGTTCAGCAACAAAATGTCACATCGCAAATATGGCAACATTTGATTTAGGGTTATTCCCCTGGACTACATGGTATATCTCTTGTTTCAGTCACATGGGACTTGTTCAGATAAACGTCTATCTTCCTCTTTTCATTCACTTTTAATCCTTATTTTCACATCCAATATGGCTAAAAAGAAAAACACAGTAGACCAGATAGTTATTTCTATCTGTTTTTCTAGTTTGTCGGTGAATTAATGGTCTGAGCGTTTGTACAGATATGTTTTCTTGTGGATCTCCTCACATTCAACTTTAATGGTTTGTTTTTCTCAGGCAAGGTAAGGCATGTGAAGTTTATTTAGCGCACTTCCCACACACCGGTTATTCTGTTTGCTTTCGCTTCGTGTTTGTAATAAATGATGTTTGTAATGAATGCCACTCTAATTTGTTTATTTCATACTCATATTCTTCATTCTTGTTTTGTATACAATATAACTATACAACCCATGTGATTTATCAGTGTGTTTTTTTTTCCCCCTCAACAATGCAATTTTGACTCGGTGCAGCTTATACTCAGATGAAAATATTGTAAACGTTCATATTTTATCAGCACATGCATTCCCTGTGAATAAGATTTATTGTTCTCTTGGTATTGCTAGCACCATGCTGTACTGTTAACAGTTATTTTGATTATGAATTATATCATTATTTATTTATTTGATAAGAGATATAATTAAATCTTCTGTATATAGTGAAAAAACATGGTTTTCCACATCTCTGGACTCTATTTGGTGCAGGTCCCTCCTTTAATATTAGCTTTTTCACCCGTTTATTTTTATTTTTTGACCGCAGGGCAAAAATTGTACGTCTGAAAAGAAATAGCACACCTCTCTTTAAGGTATAATTCATGCCTGCAGCACAAAAAAGTGGTATTAAAAACCAGAAGTAGGAGATTAGAAAGGAGAAACAGCTCAACTGACACAAGGAAAAGACATGAGAGAGAGAGAGAGAGAGAGAGAGAAAGAGAGGTGGGGTCTGTTAGATCATTGATTATGGTGCTGTTGAGTGTTGCTGCTGAGCCACCAGGAGCCGCTTCGCTCCGGCATGTGTGGAGAGGCCAGGAATGCATTTATAACACAGCTGGGAGTGATGACACAGATCTGATGAGACGGCCAGGCATGGCACAAGACCAGCCGAAGCACCTCTGTGCCTCCCTTCCTCCATCTCACCCTTCCATTCCCCAAAATAGAGCCATGAGCACAAGTTTAATATAAACCAGTTTGAGTTCAGAGACACGTTACCCTGCTAGCTGACTGAGCCTGTTGAAGTATATCTTAGTATTTCCCGTTGAAAGGTACAGGGGAGGATCTGCTTAATTGTCATGAGCAAGATATTTTGCGATAAAGTGCCAAGCATTATGATAATGAGAACTTGAGGGAGAAATCAATGTCATATTTAAATAAATGGATAAAGAAATGGTCCTACACAAAGGGTTTTAGCTTTGCTTTTGGGGTAAAATGTGGCCTAGATATGCGATGCACCCATTTGCTTTAAATTCATGGTTACAGAACGAGATCTCGCTGAGACAGGAGGAACACGGATGTATTAGGTGTAACCGTTTCTTGTTCTGAAAAGCCGCTGTATGCACATTTAAAGTAAGTGCATGTATAAATTAAACAGCACAGACTGCACACTTCAGTATCTCTGCATTTCAGGGCATTTCATTTTAGAAAATGGTGTGGATAATTTTTCTACTTTTCATTGTGAAAAAGACATTCTCACCAAGCACAATTATGCCATAATTCATATCAGTATAGTTACAACTTCATCTATCCATAGCTGTACTGTAAGTCCCTGTAGTCCCTACTCGTGACAGTGGAGAGCACTCCCTTCATTTCTCCACATTTTGTTATGTTGCAGCCTTAAAATGCTAATTTAAAATGCTTTCATTTGTGATTATTTTTAAATAATTATTACTGTATTTTACCCAATAATGACAAAGCACTTGACGTTTAGCTCAGGTGAATCCCATTTCTGTGGTTCATGTTGTTTTTACCCTTTGATTCCAGTCCATGTGTGGCAAATTCAATTGATTAGACATGATTTTGAAAAACCCACACCAGTCTATATAAGGTCTAACAGCTGCAAATCAGGATATTAGAGCAAAAACCAAGCCATAAGGTCAAAGAAAATGCCTGCAGAGCTCAGAGACTGGGTTGTGTCTAGGTACAGATCTGGTGAAGGTCACAAAAACATCTGCTCTATTGACGGTTTCCAAGAGCACAGTAGCCTCAATAATTATTAAATGGAAGAAGTTTCACCCTACGAATGAAGTCTGACCAATGGGAACACAGTGATCATTACGGACCAAACAAAATTAAACAGCGTACAGTAAATTATCAACCAATAAGAAGAAATATTACTGAGCTATTTGAATGCAACATACATTACCAAGACATGCAAACAAAACATGCATTCAGTTGGAACTGTACTGAAGAAACTACAGACAATTCAACACATCGCCAAGAACCACAACACGATGAAAATATGGCAATTAAATTAAAATTCCATACACCAACTGTAAATAAAGGTATTCGTGGGAAATGTTAAAAACTTACCATTATGATGAACGTAACAGGGCCAATGAAACTCCAAATGAAATGATTATCAACCCTCAACCAACATCTGGAAAGAGGAAAAAAAGAAAGAAAGCAATTACTTAAAGCTATGAACACACTGCAAAGTTTTGAGAGTGACAACCAATTTCATTGGAGGGAATGAATTCCCTAAATCAGTGTTTCCCAACCCTGTTTCCAGAGGCACTCCACATTTTGGATGTCACCCTTTTCTAACCCATCAATTTCAGGTCTTACTAACGAGCTGATGAGTTGAATCAGGTGTGTTTGATTAGGAAGAGGTCGAAAGAATGCACTGTTGGTGTGCCTCCATCCAGAAGCAGTGTTGGGAAACACTGCCATAAAATATTGTTTTGTCTAACGGAAAGAAGACACTCAGGCTGCCCCAAATATTGGGATGTTTGACAGTGATAACCACCGTAATATTCTAGAAATTTAATCAGAGATTTAGTGAGATCTACCATTGGAGAAAGCGTTAACGGTCCACTTGGATGGTATGACAAAAATACTGTATTATCACAATGTAAGTAATTTTATTTTACAGTGACAGTATATATACCAAAATGTAATGATGAAATCAATACAATTTTGGTACCATAGCAAAACAAGTAATTTAAGTACAAAACTCAAGTTTTCAATAAAGCAAAGATACAAATAAAGTAAGCAGTGTAGCTTATCAGGAATCTAACAGTAGTATCAAGTAACCAAGCAAATATTCAGAAAAAGGTTACTTTATTTTAAGGTCCAATTCTCACTATTAACTAACTATTTATGATGACTTTTGCCTCAATAAGCTCCAAACTTGCTGCTCATTAATAGTTAGTAAGGTAGTTGTTAAGTTTAGGTATTGGGTAGGGTTAAGCCATCTAAAAAATGCTGAATAATGCATTAACATGTGATTTATAAGTACTAATAAACAGCCAATATGCTAGTAATATGCATGCTAATAAGCAAGTAATTAACAGTGAAAATTGGCCCCTAAACTAAAGTGTTACCCAGAAAGATTCATTAGAATTAATACTTTAATACTTATTAAAGCTAAAGTTACAGTCAAGAGCAGTGGCTGGTTTTCAATTGTCAACATTGTTTAATATTAACAGCATTAATGGACAGAGGGAGGTCTGTATCTGCATTTAAACTGCAAGCCGATATCAATAAACAACATTACTCACGCTTTCCTCGTCCCATAGCTCTTATAGTCGATGGCTGCTGAAATGCCAACCACCACACAGGGGAACAGGTAGCCAGATGCGTAATAGTATTTTCGTCTGGAAAATTCACTCTCAAAGACCTCCACAAGCATGAGGAACAACTGAACGGCCTCCAAACACATCCAGGCAAATGCGGCAAGAAAGAAGAAATGCAGAACTCCAGCAATCACAGAGCACACAATCTGAGCAGGAAGAAATAAACACAAAGAATCAAACAAACCTGCCTATGGTTTGATGCCTAAAAATATAGGCAGCTCACTAGGGTTAAAATAAGCCCTCTTCACACCAATACCCCGCCCCCCGCCCAGCGTGCAAAAAATGTACCCACCGGAGGTTCGGTCATATTGATGCCCACAAGAAACAGAAGCTCTGCGATGAAGAGGTTGATGCAGAGGTTCTTGTGGATGGTGTTGCGATCACTCTGGAGGCCGCGGAAGAAGCAGAAGGTGAAGATGCTAATGGCAAGGCAGACGAGTGAAACGGCGATGCCCATTCGTGTGATACCTGTCAGCAGGAGCTCGTGAACGCTTCCCACACCCTTGAAAAATAAACATAAGCATTAACCAGTTACTTAACTCGAACATGTCACTTGTCAGAATTTAATCCTTTTTGATTTTTGAATGCGTAGAGCAAAAATGCATCTTAAACGTGCTAGTCACACATACAGCAGCTATCTTTTATAAACTTTTCTATTATTTACATATTAGCAACAAAATGCTGTTGAATCTGTGATGTCAATGCACCGCAGTGATCACTTCCAGTAGAGACAGCTATTGACTACAATGGAAGCTCACGTCTAGTATAGACCAAGTTTTTGACAGCAGACGTCTTAAATCATAATGTCTTAACTTCCTAGAGTTTGAATAATCTATCTTACGTCTTTGTTTACACATGGCACCAATACAGAAGCTAAAGACGTTTTAACACTGACAGGTTCTGTTTACACATCCTCTAAACAACAGTAACAACAACAACAAAATTATACATTTACTGAAAGGCTGTATGCATGAAAGCACCATCCCTGTGGATCATGCTGGGCAGAAGCTTAAAGGATTGTATTGAGACACATCATCAGTTGTGTACCTCAGCATCCTTGGGTGTTTTACCAGTTTATCATAATACACCCTATGGGTTGTGCCGATAGATTATAGTATCGTGTATCAACGCTAGTCAGAGATATCGCCTGTGGCTGATGCCTTTGATGATAGCAAGACGATTATTATAATAATAATAATAATTATTATTATTATTATTATTATTATTATTATTATCAGGCTACACTCTTAAAAATAAAGGTGCTTCACGATGCCATAGAAGAACCTTTTTGTCTAAATGGTTCCATAAAGAACCTTTAACATCTGAAGAACCTTTCTGTTTCACAAAAGGTTCTTTGTGGCGAAAGAAGGTTCTTCAGATTATAAAAAGGTAAGAAAGAGATGGTTCTTTAAAGAACCTTTGACTCAATGGTTCTTTGCGGAACAAAAAATGGTTCTTCTATGGCATCGCTTGAAGAACCTTTTGAAGCACCTTTATTTTTAAGAGTGTAGTAAAACTATCTAATTAATATTAGGGCTTATTTGTTCCATTATATTTCTTTTTCTGCGTTTTTACAGTGTTGCGCATTATATCCAATCACACACAATTCTGTTGAGTTTATGAATGCAATGGCCAATCAGATGCATTCAGATGAGTCATCGCTGAAACAGCGGAATTTTGTTGTTCAGTGCACGATGACTGAATTCTGACCCGCGAATTCTCTCATCATAAACAACAAAGTGCAGATGTACGTGCAATGCAAGTATAAGATATTTATTCATCATACAGTGTAGATTCACTGATTCACGGGAGTGCATAAGCTCACGCTAGACTGAGCTAGTGATGATGTTCTTTGGTAATGCATATGTTCTTTGCTCGCTTTCTGTAGCTGCTTTTTGAATAACTAAGGAAATAATAAATTAGCACAATAATATCGTGTATCAGCGATCTCACAGGCTGACGATAGGACGATATGAAAATTAAGCATATCGCCCAACACTAATACACCCTCTAATGAGGTTCGCCCACCACAGGCTCTTTAGACCCTGATGTATGTCCTACAGCCAGTCGTTCTTGATATCTAGTTAATCAATGCCTCTTGATGTTTAGCTGTTTCTCTGAGTGCATGACTACCATGATCCAAAGATTAACACTGTGAGGAGCTACACCTTGTTTGACAAGCAGTGGGCTGTTTAGGTTTGGGCGTATGTCTTGCCACCTTTTGGTCTCTTATGGTGCTCAATTGCTGGTCCAGGTGGTGTCCTTACATTTTAGCCACAGTCAATGATTGCTCAGAGTGCACGGCTGCCAGGACGCAAAGATTGCCAACACTGCAAAGAGCCATCTAGTTTAACAAGCAGTGGGCTGATCAGGGCAGTTTCCCAAAAGCATCGTAAGCCTAAGTAAATCGTAGATACATTGCCACCAATAATCTTTACAATCAACTTATCTCACGATGCTTTTGAGAAACGCAGCCCTGGTCTCTTATGGTCTCAATTGTTGGTCCAGGAGCCGTCCTTCCTTTTCAGCCATAGTCAATGATTGTTTTGCTCTGTGTCCTCCACAAATGTCTTTACTTTACTACCTGCTGGACTCTCCTCTAATTCTCGGTACCCTCAGGAGCTGAGAATTATATTGGATCCAATGCATCTCACCTCGACTGGGCACATCTGGATGTTCCAGTCTCAAATCTCTGTTTCTCCTGCAAGGTTGGCATATCGCAGCCTCTTCTGCTCATGTGCCTCATCCACAGAGTCCTCCCAAAGAACTTGGACAATGAAGACATAGTGCTGTAATCTGGACCACAGAGCAAGATTTGGTCTCAGGTTGGTGCTGGCGATTTCCATGAGAAAGGTATCCAAGTTTCTGGTCTAGGTCAATGTCATTTTCCAGTCCCTGGTGGCAACCAGTGGGCCAGCCTTAGGAAGCAAGGACTCTGCTTTTCCTTACTTAAGCAAAGATATCAGAAATGGGTGGGTTGACTGGGCATTCTGAGGCATAGCATTGGTTGTTGTTCTTTGTGGTCAAGTTCAATTTAGGTTTATAGGACAAGGAAGGACCTCATTTGTGGCACAGATGAGAAAACTCATTCTTCCACCATATTCCACAGGTCTTTGCAGGTAGTTATTTTCTTATCAATACTCTCCCATCTCACCCAGCTGTCTTGCTTGGTTTGAGATATGGCTTTAGTGATTGTAGACTTGTTCTTGATTGGTGCATCTCTTCCACCACAAGTTGTCGGCTGGTGATGCCATTTTACAATGTGGGCTTGCTTCCCCCAAACCCTTTCTTCCATGCTGTACCTGGCCTACAATATCCCAGTGTCAAGGGGGTGACTTTGCATCTGCTGATGGTGGATTGCATTTCCGTCCATTACTAGGGATAGAGCGGCCTCTCTCACAATGATATCTTGGGACTGTTTGAGTATCATGTCTAACCTAACTTTAGCACATTTGTATTCCTTCATAAGGCTCATAATTGGGAGTGAAAGAACCATCTTATCATACAGTCCTATCCTGCTGACATATCTTGGTAATCCAAGCCACTTCTCATATGTGAGCTAATCAAATACCCCAGCTTGCTGACCTGTGAAAGGGCGACTTCGAACAAGGTAATTGGCCAGAAAGACAGGGCAGCTGAAACTCTGGTGCCTCCAATTTGGGCTGTTGCCCTTTCTTTCGTAGGAGAGCAGTACTGTTGATATGCTTGAGGCCAGTGATTATATCCTCCTTTATTTGTTGTACTTGCCTGTTATTTAGGTTTACATCAGACCAGCATCCAAGGCTTTTAATTGTCTCTTCCAGCACTGCAGGCACTGGTTCAATTACTGCTTGGTTGAAAATAATGTGATATTTACTTGGCTTGATTTCCATTTATGAAATCAATGATTTCCATTTCTCTACCTTACTAACAACACAACTTTTACAATCTTGTAAGTACTTCCAATAAAGATTTATTTCAGGAGCACAACAGATTGTGTGCATCATAATTATATTGTTTAAAGAAAACTCTTAAGTAGAAAGGGAATCTTTTTTAATATTCCTGATTCAACAGGACAAAACACAATATCTATGTAATATGTAGGCAGAAAATAAGATTCTGCTGTCGTAATGGTTATATATCTATCCACAGTTGCAGCAGTTAGGTAAGTTTGTGGACCAAGACCATATAAACAGTTGCACAACAAAACCCATGATTTCCACATTCATTACAGCTTAAATGACAGCTATGCTAGCATATCGTATAATGTTTGGTGCTATCAAACAACTGACATACTGACATAATTGCATTGTTCCCAGAAATCTACAAGTGACCCAAGAGAGTCATTCATCAAAGTAGATTAAGAATTATATTAAGAAAGAGCTGCAATATATTCATTTGTTCTCTTGTAGAGATACGTTGCTGTTGCTGTGATGAGCACAAATTATGTCCAATGAATGTATCAGCAGAAGAAAATGACATTCTGGAAACTCAAGAGACTCAATACTCAACAGCATCATGGTTATATGAAAGGCAGAAAGCAGAAAATTGGCTCTGAAGAGTAGCTGTTGGATTATAGTTACTAACTGAATCATTATGTTGATTTCCTCTATACCGGATGTCCCACCACAGGGCTGGATGGGACCAGTTGATACTCACCGCATGTGCATCTCGATGAGCCATCAGGATTGCAAAGTTAGTCAGGTGACTGCAGGAGCAAGTGGTGTGAGTCTTGTTTGTCGCGAGGAGTTTGCAGCCTTGTGTTGACCAGTATCCTGTCATGCTCCTCTCAGAATAGTTCCAAAATGAGCAGTTTGGATTGAAGTAGTTCTCAGTCTGATAAACGGAGAAACATGTCATTTTATTTGAACGTGACAGCTGACATCTGCCAGGTTGAGAGATTTAAACCTTTCATACCCAAACATTGTTTTCCTTGATCAACAATCTCTATTAATAAACCATGTTGACTGACAAGTATGTTCTTTGATTTTGTTTAAGCATGTTTTTCAAGGCTCTAATTTTAACTCGGTCCTAAAATCAGAAGGCACTGTTTACTTGGTTATTTAAAATAACACGCCCCATATTTTATGCTATAACAAGATACATCTCAGGTACCAGTAATTCTATTGAAACTAAGAATTTTTAATCTTTCTTCTCTTTAGATTTTGAAGCAAATAGATTGGCCTTACTCTGGCCCTTGACTGTTTTTCAGCACCTGTTTCATATAAATACAGTGCTGTGAAAATGTATTTACCCCCAACATGATAAAAATGGTATGATATTAAATAGTTGTAGATATTAAAATAAAATACAACATGAATCAAAGGCAATCTGATTAAATACTTTTTTATTGAAGCATAAGAAGTTGTCTTACACCCACCACCCACGTGAAAAGCTAATTGCCCACTTAAACTTAAATGACTGATGTATTTTAATTACTTTCTTCCTCATCATTTCTGGAATTTATTTTATATTTGGCATAGTGTGTTACTGGGTAAGACCCTTTAAGTAGTGTTAATTTCGTTAATGAAAACTATGACAAAAATATTAGTTAACGAAAAGTAAACTAATATTAAAGGGGTCCTATTATGCTTTTTCACTTTTTCAACTTTAGTTAGTCTGTAATGTTGCTGTTTGAGCATAAAAAAGATCTGCAAAGTTACAAAGCTCAAAGTCCCCTTCAAAAGGAGATATTTTATTTAACAGAAATCACTTTTCAAAAAGTACAACGAACGACTCGTTTGGACTACAACGCATATTTTCCAGGATTTGTGATATCACAAATATCGACGAATGGGACGAGACCTGGTTGAGCTGCACTAGAGAAGGCAATGAGTGTTATCACTATGTCGGAGACACGCTAGCTTTCCCAAGACTTAGAGTGGTTACAATCATCTGGGTTTAAATCACGCTCAAATTGATTTGATATTGACGCAATATATATATATAACCAATCACAACACACACTGGCCCAGCTAACCAATCACAGCAGACACTGGCCCAGCTAACCAATCACAACACACACTGGCCCAGCTAACCAATCACAGCACATTTCGTATTTCAGAAGGCAGGCTTTCATTTGATACAGGAACTATTCGAGCGGTTCATGCCAGACTGGGGAGAGAGGTGTGTAATAATGTAAAATATGTGAAAAATTATGTGTTTTTCGAACAACCTAGTATGAGAGCCTGTTCTAGTACACCCCCAAAACAAAATCAAGACTTCGTAAAAGAGCATAATAGGACCCCTTTAAAATTGAAATTGCAAAGAAAGAGAAACATGTCTTTAATTAAGCTTTTCAATTCTTACATCCAAATGCGCCAGAGTGAAGATGAGTGGTTCGGACACAAACACGCGGTTGGATTCTTTGTTGATGGAGGCGGAGAGGATGTGGGAGTTGACAGTCAGGGTGTGGTTTCTGACTCCGCCCTCTCCCATCAGCCTCACCGTGGCGTTCTCCGTACTAAGGAAATGCCCCAAGTGCTTATACAGGACAAAAACCAACTTGGCAACACCTTGAGTAAATAAATGATAGGAGAACATCATTAGTACTTACTGGATTTCGATAGAAAAATAAACTGATATTATCTTTAAACTGACTTAGGGTCATAAAATATCTATATCTTTTTCTTATTTTGAACTTTCTCTTTCAGGTTAACAACTGTCAAAGTGGAACAAAAGATCAAAGAGAACATTGATGAGCACTTTAGATCTTACAAGCATGTTTTCGCTAGCAACCAGAATAACATCATGTGGAAGAATATTCAATGCTGTCCTTGAGTACTGATATTTGCTACAGCTACAGAAATGCAAGAAAGCATGTAATGAATGTAAAGCTTGCAATGCACTGACTAAGTACTTGTGCAGAGTGTTTATGTCCTACAGATCAGGAAAATCATTGACTTCATTAACTAAGCATCTGAAGGCCTTGCATTAAAGCATTTGAAATGACTATAACCTTGCTTTTATTTACCATTTTTACTGTTTAGTTTGACCATGTTTGCTGAGAGCTGAATCGTGGCTCCTCTTTTGCTGGTCTGTGGAAACCTGAAGTCCTGAATTTGGCCATCGGTGCTCAGCACGTACACGTCCAACACTGAATGAAGAAAGAAAAGCAGAAAGATATGGATTCCTATGTGCCATTTGGTGTCTTATTAAACAAAACACGAGACAATGGCAGTTGCATAAATGGCTTCTCACATTCAGGTTCTCACATTCTTCTGCCAGATGGAAATGAAGGACTGTTTCATTAAGCCAATGCGAGGTAATTTAATTAAAACGAGACATTGTGCACATATAAAAGAGTGAATTGAGAAGATGGTTTCAAAGTTTTCTAATGCACCTCGGGCCAACAAACTCTGCATTTGTACCACATCATATAATTTTCAAATGAGAGGCAGAGAACACAAAGGTGTATTGTCTAATGTAAGCAGAAAATGTTTTCTCTTTAACAATGAACATTTTTCTCAAGAAAATTAACTTGTGCCTTTAAAAAAGAGAAAAGCTTCTTCATTACCTTATACTAAAATTGGCGCTTTTAACTGAAAGATGAGACTTCCTTTCCTACAGATGCTGCATTGACTGTTATGATTTCTGACATTCATTTCCCTTTTGATGTGAAAGCAAGAGATCTGAGAGATAAAGCTTTACAGACTGCATCCCTATTTGCTTTCAATGTATTTGGGTCAAAATCAGCTAAGGGGGTAATAATGGAACAACAGTTTAAAAAGTGATTTTCACTATTATTTACAACAGCATCTACATTTTCATGGTTTCATGGCCACATTTTTATATGGCTGAGAACAACAACACATAGCTACACAAAAGGATTGAGAAGAAAATAAAGGGAGTCAAAAAGCACTGAGCCAAGGTTAAAAGGAAAAAGCCTTCAGTAACCCAGAGGCCTGTACAGTGAAATGACAGATGAGTGCACAAAGCTGTCTTATATGAATGAGATCACATTACTAATAAATTCCACTGGCAGGGGCCTGGGCTGGATCCTCTCAGCATCTGAATGGTTAAAGTCGCCACATGCTGAGACCGGAGCGAAGTCGATTTGGTTTCAGCCCTTTCACAGTGATGAATGCATTCATGAAAAATTGCAGAACTGAACAATATCCACCTATTTACATGCACCCGAGACAACAGCCGTATCTAAATCATAACATTTTTGATTACGCTATGGATTCCACTCATGATGCCTAAAAGCATTTCCTTTACAAATGCTTTTCACTTATGTAGTCATTCTAACTGTCGGTGAATCTAAAATGAAAACTGCCTTCTGTTTTACAAATCAACCGCTCTTGTTATTTAGAATATAATAATAAAAAGTAATCGATTTCAAGTAAACTGGCTCACAATAGTCTCCTCCAGATATACACGTTCAATCCATTTGCCTACACCCAACATATTTCACAAATTGTACATGCAAATTTAAACTTTTTTAAAACCAAACTGCACATCCTAAATCCACACTACCTGCATGTCATCAATTTGTACAAGACTTGATTTTAAAATAGTATTTCACTCAACTTAAGTCAGAGTCTCCTATTAAAAGGAAAGATAGAAAAACTAAATTGGTGGCCTTTTCGGTGGATTTTTTTTATAGGTTGTAAACTGTATAAAGCCTGGTTAGCAAACTCAAGAAGGGCAGATTGCTACATTCAACCTGACAAATGCAACCTGAGATTTGACTCGTTCGCTGTAAACTCTTGTACAGCCGTCAACGGCTCAGATTCCTGCATTATTCACTGCCTGGGAGATTCTCATATCTGTGGCTGTAAATAGCAATCAGCACAATGATTTCTCGAGCCCAGATCGAATCTGCCGGGAAAGGTTCTCTAAATTAAGCAGTGTAGGGTCGCTTTGTCTTTTCTTCTCTTTCCACGGGAAAGCTGATATCTGCAGAGATGGACGTGTCTGGCAGCAAAAGCAGTGTTGGTTACTCTCGTTTAAAGCACTGTTATCAGTCAAACTGCCCACAAAAACACATTCATTGAGACCTTGCTTAGTTATGATAACATGTCTGATGAACAGTATATTCAATAAACCCACTATAACCTTCATTATCTAAGCATGTACAAAATTATAAGAGACAAAATGCCTTTTTATGAGGCAAGAACATCTATTGATTGAATAACACACTGTTGCAGAGGTCTCCAGATGTAGATGGGCACAGAAAGAAAAATGACAAATCCTGTGCCGTTTAAATTCATACATAATTATACTCAAAAGCTCAGCGCTGAAGAAGGTACATGAAACAGTAACTGGAGCGAATCTGCTAATGCAAGACCTGCTGAAGTTCTTCTGCTGCTTCAGTGTGTTGGATTTGCATACTGTCTTATATGCGAGTTGCCTGATTAATTAATCATTTATCTGCTCTCTATACTATTTCGTTACCGCTGAGGATCTGCAGCTGAATATTTCAAATACTTAACTCTTCCAGCCGCACTGCAGCAATGTGCAAAAGACTACATCCATTTGCCAAATGTCCTACTTTTACCACAGTGTCAAAGCAGCATGACTGTCAACAAGGCTGAAAATAATTATTTTTTCACTTAAATATTTCCAAATCTCCAAAGGCATTATTTCAGTTATAGGAAGAGATCAGTGGACATCGGATTTTTCAATCAACGGCCCACAAGTGGGTGCAATAATAAATATAAACCCAACAGCACAGTGTCAAAGTGTATTTATTATTACAAAGAAAAAATGCATTTCTTCACCTAAACTCTCAGGGCAGTTCCAGTGATAATTTCACAAAGCTGTTAGATTGTCTTTATTGAAAATCTCTTATAAGTTTAGTCAGTACTCAACATGTAATTTTTAACTCTTGTTTTTATGGAAAAAGCGCAGTGACAACATGTTTTACACATTCTAATTAGTGCATAAATTTGTTGACTATGATGCTTTTTTTTCTCATGTATGTTTTAGTTAAAATCAGTGAGAATCAGTGCTTGCTATAAATGTAAGATATGTAAGATAAAGAAGCTAAACCTAACTGGACAAAGCATGGCTTTTATACCACAAACGTTTATATCACATTCCATCACTTGCTCAGCAATGAATGCTCTGCAGTGAATGGGTGCCGTCAGAATGAGAGTCCAAACAGCTGATAAAAACATCACAATAATCCACAAGTAATCCACACCACTCCAGTCCATCAGTTAACATCTTGAGAAGAGAAAAGCTGCGTGTTTTTCAGAAACAAATCCATCAAGGCGTTTTAACCTCAAACCGTTGCTTCTGGCTTAAATACGACTCCATAATCCATAATAACGCTTCCTCTAGTGATAAAGTCCATCTCCTGTTCTCTCTCACATCAAAATCCACACACATATTTGTTTAGAGCTGTTTTGGCTTGTAAACGGTGCTTGATCTGTGCAGATTTCTCTCCTGATTCAGACCAGGCGACTTTTTCACTGGAGGAAGCAATGTTATGGATAGAGAGTTAAACACGTATAATGATGGATTTCTTTCTTACAAACACGCAGCTTTTGTCTTCTCCAGATGTTAACTGATGGACTGGAGTGGTGTGGATTATTGTGATGCTTTTATCAGCTGTTTGGACTCTCATTCTGACGGCACCCATTCACTGCAGAGCATCCATTGATGAGCAAGTGATGCAATGCTCTGATGAAGAAACAAACTCATCTACATCTTGGATGGCCCAAGGATGAGTAAATGTTCAGCAAACTTTCATTTTTGGGTGAACTAGTCCATTATTCCGGCATTGGTTTTAACTAACTCTTCCGAGCATTCTTGCAAGTTCGGTTTCGTTCTGCTTTGGTTTTCATACACACACATTACTCCTGGAAAACTCCATCAGTCATAAGCGGCAGGTCAGACACGTGGCTCGAATCGAACCGTCATCATTTACATCAAAAGCTGCCGGCTAAGATGAAAGCACTTACTGATGTTCTCGGCAGGCACTCGGACGACTGCGGGCTCGATCAGGTTGTCTGCAAGGACAAAGGCTCCTTCCTCCAGGGTATCGAGTAACATAGTGGCAGCATGTGTTTGCTCCGTGGAATTCATGTCCTCCCAGGATTTAAGGGCTTCTGGCCTCAGGAGGTTGTCAACCGTGTCCACAATGGCCTGTAACCATGGAAACAAGAGAAATGACAGGCGGTTGATATTTTTCCTTTGCTTTCCCTGGAAAAGAAAAAGGATCCAGCACATGGAATACACTGGAGAGAAGAGAACCAAATGAGACCTGTGACACGAGATAACTATAATGGGAAATGAAGCACTGTACAACTAGTGTAATTCCTGCAAAAATACGTGTTGGGTGTGTTTCTGCCACCTTTCATCAGAGATCATCAGGATTGCAAACACATTTTTGTGGTTGTTATTAGAGTTGGGGTACTCTGACTCGAGTCCGGTCTCGAGTACAATTTTTTAGAGGACTCAGAAATGTCACTGACTCGATGCATTATCACGAAAGTGATTTCAGTTTCCGCATGTGTTTTTAAGTCTTGTCCGGTGCTTGAAAGCTGATGGGTTTCTGTGCTCACACAGAGAAAGCGCCTGTCAGTCAGCGTGCAAATGTTGAATTAAATTCCATTTTGCATGTTATTGCTACACACTTACATGAAAAGTTGTGTCAAAATACCCATCTTGGAGACTATTCACATAAATGCAGTCAGTTTTTTTCTTAAGTGAACCTGAACTGTTGAGAGAAGTACAGATGTGTCAAAACATTTTATCTGTGCATCAGGTCTTAAAGTGACAGCAGCGTAAACCTGCTGCTGCTGACTGCGTCATAAATGTTAATCAAACAACAAACAAACAAAAGAAAAGGAGAACATCACTCATTGCTCTTGACTAAATCAGTTTAGTAACTTTAATAAGAATCATTTATATTTAATGCATACAGTAAAGACTGTGTAGTGTTTTATTTTTACGTTTAATTCATTAAATGTCTGCAGCAGGCTAATTCTGTAGTAGCCTGTATAGACCTAGCTGAAAAACTATTTCACATATGTATTTTTGATGAATATATTTATTTATCCTTTTGCTTGTAATTAATAATTAGACTGTTTACTTGCCTTCAGTAAGCTTGAGAATGTTTTACTTTCATTAGTTTAGTATTAGTTTTTGCTCTTGTTTTGAAATTATTATTATTTTTAATCATTGTGGCAGCTTCTAGCTTCAAAGAAGTGCTGTCAAACGATTAATCGCATCCAAAATAAAAGTTTTTGTTTACATAATATATTTATGTGTGCTGTGTATATTTATTACGTATATATAAATACACATACATACAGTATATATTTTGAAAATATTTATGTATATACATTTATATATTTATATTCTTATATTGTATATTATATATAAATATATTTAATATATAAACAACATTTTTCTTAAATATATACATGCATGTGTTTGTATTTATATATACATAATAAATATAGACAGTGTACACACATATATTATGTAAACAAAAACTTTTATTTTGGATGCGATTAATCGCAGTTAATTGGTTGACAGCACTACTTCATAGAAAAAATAATTTAAAATAACTCTTTGCAGCAATAGTTTTTATTGGTCCAAAAACACCTTAAGTGTGCATTCTTTTCTAATAGTTCAACGGGCCGTCGTCAATTATTCCTTACATAATGAAATTTACTATCTATAAATGCATTCAAAATGCATTCAAAAATAAAACAGGTGTGAGTTGGCTGTGATCAAAACATGAGCACATGTAGGGCTTTTATACACAGTTTTATACACAAGTTTATCCCTCACAGCCTCATTTTGATGCAAGAAAAAATTCTATACTCATATAAAACCAAAAACACAATCAGAGATAGGAGGTGCATTTTCTGCTCTTCAGGTCCACCAAGCTACCCCAGTCACAATCCCCCAACCCCACCCTTGCATTTATACATTTACTGTAACAATGAATAAAGTCAAGTCCCGTTCTATAACATTTCACATTTAAAAAATCTGAAATAAGTCACAATACATAAATAGAGTCAGCCATAACTTCTGTTACATGACTTTAAGTTTGCTGAGCAAAAATCAAAATGGCAAGATGCAATAGAGGTTTGCGTTTGTTACATTTAAACTGACATTGCCTTTTTCTAGTTGTAAAGGTTAAAACAAGGTTAAGATACTGACAAACAGTTGAGTTTCACTGGACTCGGACTCGAACCCAACACTAGTTCTTATGCAGTTCCGTTACCAATTAATCATCATTTCTAAACAGTGTCTGTAGTTCTCCAAAGATCAAGTTTCTCTGCTTACAAAAACTGCCTTCACTGCTGGACATAACTGTAATCTGCACAATCCACTTGATTGTCATATTAAATTTCCTGCTGGGGATCAATATTGCATGCGTTACTATCTGTAACAGGATCTAATGGCCGTGCTGTCACAAAAAAATAAAAATCTTTTTGTAAAGTAAAAAGCAATATCGGACTGGAAGTAGCTTGCAGATTATAAAAACTCCAGAAAACGGGATGTTCTCATTGATATCCATATCATTTGCATTGGCCTTAACCAGTATGCAATTCAGTTAACCAATCCCAAGGTGAATGAGGTGCTTTTGGGTGTAAAGGAGGATTTTAACCTTGTAAAGTCTGACATATGAAATAACAGTCAGAAAAAAAATTCTTTTTTAAAAAGCATACAGTATTGTTTTATACTTTATGTCATATTTGATGCATCAGGCTTTTATGGCTCACATAGTCTGATATAGTGAGAATATGCAGGAAAAACAGCTCAGTTTTGTTCAGAGGCTCAAACTGAGCAAATATATGCAATTTGGTGCAGATCAAAAAGTGATGAAATTCTGATGCTTGAAATGTAAATGAATGAGATCTTTATAACAGTACAGCAGATACTGACATAAAATGATATAAATATCGGCCGTCACTCTATTTCTCCAATAATATGTCTTAGTTAAATGATATTTAAATACTTAGTTTTAAGATTACAACATATATCCCCGGTTTCATAGACAAGACTTAAGCCTAGTCCTAGACTAAAAGGCACATCTTGGCTATTTCAAATGAAAGAAACTTGCACTTAGTGATCTTAAAAGATGTCAGATTCAGTTTTGTCTCAAGATGCACACCAGTAATGTTTTTATCTATGGCATATTTATAAAAGCTACTTAAATGTCCTAATTAAACTATTGCCAAATCCTGGCTTAACCTAAGCCCTGCCTGTGAAACCAAGCCATAATGCAATGAAATGATGATTGAGAGATGAACAAATAAATGTTCCTCAAAAGCCTGATTATCAAATTTGAGACTTAATGAAGTAAAGCGAAGCAGCTTCACTCCAGTAGGTGTTCATCTTGAAATATTATCAATATAAGAGTTATTCTTACATTTACTTTATAAAAGTAAAAAAAGACAAGTAAAGCATGAGCTGGACGTTTGTACAATTATACAAAAAGATATTTTACTCAAACAAAAAAAAAAAAAAAAAGTCTAAAATATCAATCAGATGACACAAAGCACGAGTAGACTGTGTGACAGGTTTATCAGCAAAGATTCGATTATGTTGATCTTATAGAGGCCTTAGAAATTTGTGCATCAAGTCTGATGCAGGATAAGCATTATCAAAAACATTCTTTTGTTCATTATTTAAAAGCCTCAAACAGAATATGAATAAAACAGATTTCAGTGTAGATCATTTGTTTAAAGCCATTCTTATATATGCTGTAACATTTAGTTCAAAGCATTAATTCATGTAAGAATGATTTTTATTATTTAAACAAAAATTAATTCTGTCCATACATCATAAATGTGGCCCATTTTTCATTTTTTCTCAAGTTTTTGTTTGCATAGCATTGCAAATATATATATTTTTTTAATGTATGTTTAATACCTTTCTTGGAAATAAATTCAACTTTAAATATTTTAAATAATTTAATATTTATTTTTAAATGTAATTTTTTTAAATGTTATGTTGCTAACCGAAAAAGAAGATAATAAAACCCATGATTAATCCAGTGAGATTCCTCTGCAATTACACGACAGTAAGTCAAAAGCATCTGCTTTGTAAAAAAAAAAGATTATTTGTCCATAAAACAAACATTAAACACCTTCCACCTAAAACACTTAAACGGTCTTTCCACTTCAAAATTTCATCGGGTTTCTGCAGGTTTTTAGACCTTTTTTAGACCAATTAAAGAAAGTTTAAGGAATAAACTGAAGAGAACACGATACATTCATGTTCTAGTGTCATGTTCAAGTTTGAAAGTACAAGTGATGTTCATTCTTAGTAATTTTGTCCTGTTTTCCAGTTCAAATGTCTAAAGATTCTTGACACATCATTTTTTTTTTTATCTGAGTTTATGATTAAAACAAGAACAAATATCTGCCAATGGGCTCAGAAAAATAACCTTAATTCAAAGGGAAGTTTTCATACCCAATTGACAGATATTTGTTCTTATTTTAAACATGAACTCACTTAATTTTATTGAGTTTTTCAAGAATTTCGATTTGCATTTCAGGTGTTACATCTGCATTAAAGGTGTTTAGGTAATTATATTGGAAAACTACGGTGGTCGAGAAGTGCAAAACAAATCACAATTCTGGAAACAAAATAACAAATTACAAACGCAAATGCAAGTCTAAAAAACAAAATAACAATTTAGAAAACAAAATTCTGGAAAAAAAAGTTTGGCAAAAGGAAGGATCGAACCCGGGTCGATCGCGTCAAAAAGTCGATGTTTTCAGAATTGTGATTTGTTTTGCACTTCTTGGTCACCGTAGAAAACACTGAGGAATACCTTTTTTTGCAATGCACGCAACATTTAAAGCAATGATTTTATGAATTGAAGACTTTTTGCTCAAATTATTTTTGACCTTTTTAAGGCCTTTTAATTGTGGAAGTGTGAATTAAGTGTGAATTAATAAAAAAAAAAAAAAAAACAATTTCCAGTTTAATTCAATGTCGCCGTGTCTTTGTAACTATTTATGGAATTTACTAGCAATTTCTGTGCAAAATGGTTTCAAAGTAAACTCTTATTTTCAGTGTGTCCTGGAAAACTGTACGGTGAGTGAAATAACTGACAGCGAATGTTCTTTAATAGCCTTGTCAGATCCCAAACCCAAAACCTAAATCAAAACTCATCACATGGACCACACCTGAACACAGTCCTGAGTGACAGATGAAGCAAAGCTCAATTTGTAACTAAAAAGTTGACAAAATTTGACTGAAGATACCACTGACTCATCAATAAAATGTTCTTATACCAGCAAATCATAGTCCACGACTGTGACACAAACTAAAGCCTATTGGTTGTTTCAGTATGACCCACTCCAACTTCCTGTTTCAAAAAGAAAAATACATCAGCACATGAAAGAATAAAACAATCAAGTGACATTATTCTTTCACAAGTGCAGCTTTGAGTAAGTGACTGAAATATGTATTAAAAGAATGAAAACACAACAGCAGAGATATGCATAAAAGATTACAAAGAAATGCAACGAAACCGCAGCGTGAACGGCTCAGACTGAAGCAGGTGAGGAAGAGAGCACAAATCCACTTTGATCACAAGATCAGCTGACAGACCCCAGCGATCACGACTGCAGGATGTCAATTACTCAGACAAAGAACAACAGCAGACAGAAAGATGAGCAGAAACCAGCCAGAAATACAATGACTCCCAATCAACAGGAAAGCAGAGTGTACAGCTAAAGAAATAGTTCACCCAAGAATCTAAATTTGCTGAAAATGTGCTCACCCTCAGGTCATCCAAGACGTAGATGAGTTTGTTTCTTCATCAGATTTGTAGAAATGTAGCAATGCATCCTCTGCAGTGAATGGGTGCCGTCAGAATGAGAGTCCAAACAGCTGATAAAAACATCACAATAATCCACTCAGTTAACATCTGGAGAAGGCAAAAGCTGTGTGTTTGTCAGAAACAAATCCATCAAGGCGTTGCTTCTGGCTAAAATACGACTCCATAATCCATAATAACGCTTCCTCTAGTGATAAAGTCCATCTCCTGTTGTCTCTCACATCAAAATCCAAACATATATTTGTTTAGAGCTGTTTTGCCTTGTAAACAGTGCTTGATCTGTGCAGATTTCTCTCCTGATTCAGACCAGGCGACTTTTTCACTGGAGAAAGCGTTATTATGGATTATGGAGTCGCATTTTAGCCAAAAGCCATGGTTTAAAGTTAAAAATGCTTTAATGATGGATTTGTTTCTTACAAACACACAGCTTTTGTCTTCTCCAGATGTTAACTGATGGACTGGAGTGGTGTGGATTATTGTGATGCTTTTATCAGCTGTTTGGACTCTCATTCTGATGGCACCCATTCACTGCAGAGGATGCAATGCTACATTTCTCCAAATCTGATGAAGTAACAAACTCATCAACATCTCGGATGACCTGAGGGTGAGCACATTTTCAGCAAATTCAGATTTTAGATTAGATTATTGTGATGTTTTTATCAGCTGTTTGGACTCTCATTCTGACGGCACCCATTCACTGCAGAGGATGCAATGCTGCATTTCTCCAAATCTGATGAAGAAACAAACTAATCTACATCACGGATGGCCTGAAGGTGAGCACATTTTCAGCAAACTTTCACTTTTGGGTGAACTACTGCTTTAAGACAGACAAGCGGTAAGGAGGAGGTGAACAGAAAAGAGGAGGACAGTAAAAGCAACACAAAACAGAACAGAAAGACACCGAGGCAGAACTGCCCTAAAAGAGAGTCACGTATCAGCAGAAAGACAGACTAAGCAGGACAACAGACAGATGGACTTCCAGCCAGACAAACAAGCTGCATGCAGCAGAGCAGGTGAAGGGGATTCTGGGATTGTGTCCATATATACCTTCATATAGGCCCTGCAAGTCCTCTCTCTTTTTTGACGCTTTGTTTTTTTTTTTTTTTTTGGTTTCAAACACAAAGACGGAAGATTAGGAACAACACACACACAGAGAGAGAGAGAGAAAGAAGAAAAGAGAAAGAGAACAAATAAGAGCCTATGTGTCAGTCATATCATGTATGTGTGTTGCTTCAACTACGGGCACTTTTATGTTCCAGTGACTGACTTTTATGTTTGTGTTTTCTTCCTTGTATGGCACATTAAATCTGTTTTTGTTTTTCATTTAAAAATGTACATTTTGAATTGTATGCTTAAGATAAAATACAATACCTGCATATATAATATAATATAACCATGTGAACAGAACATTTTTTGTATGCAATTTCTGTAAAGCTGCAATTGTAAACAAAAGGTGTCAAAATATGACTTACTGTTAGAATACATAGAATGCAGATTATGAAACTGACCTTTACAGAGAGAAATACGTTTCCATTTATCGTTCTCTTGTCATTGTTAGGAGACAACTTACATAACCTATTACTGAGCTTGAAAAGTGTGTTCTTCATTTCTGAAAGTCCACAGGGCAAAAAGTGCCTATAGCTGAAGAAATATCAGTATATATTCAAAGCTGAGGTCATATAGAGTATAAAAGGACACTGTAGAGCACGTCCATTAACCCCATTTCAATTAAACATGTCTTTGAATGTGCATCTCTCTTCTATAAGGCACTGGCTGAGGAGGGAAATATGGAGATGGAAACGTTAGAGCATGCTTTCAAATGAAGCCAGAAAATCCATTAAACTCAACGGCAGCTGCCAGAAGAAGAAGAAAGAAGAAGATTTTGAGAACAAATTTTCATATTTATAGTGATCTTGGAATAATTTCATTTTCATAATAGGCCTTTTACTAGAATTTACTTGATGAAGTTATAACATTACCAGATTAAAGCAGTAATAAAATGACAAGAATACCACCATAGCAATAAAGTTCAAGTATAATTATGTGATTAAAGTCGTAATATTATAAGATTACAATAAGGAAAGTAACATTTAAGAAATGTTAAGCTTTATTTTTAACACTCCACACTTTACTACATTTGAAACTACACATTTCACTACATATTCCATACATATATATATATTTTTTTGTTTTGTTTCCCTGTTATTTTTGTGGCAAGCTGTTTTTGTAGGCCTGAATGATGCAATGATGCTGAATTTCACTGTCACCTCTGTATAAAATCTGCTCCCCACAATTTCCACATGAGGAAAAATGTTTTTGCTCAAAGGTTGCTCTTTTATACATAAAGTAACAGGTTTTCTGACATGCAGTAATAGTACAGAACTATACAAGACGTGTGGATAGTACATAATTCAGATAATTTGATCTTGGCAAAATGTGTAACGTGTAGAGAGCCTGATATTTGCGTGATATTTGATTGAAGGCTTTGGTATCTTGAAAAATCTATATCCTATATAAACACTTAATATAAATCAATATACAAAACTATATTCTACCATGCAGAGAATAACTTAACTTAACTTTAAATTAAATTAAATTAAATTAAAAAACAAAAGAAAAGAAAAGAAAAGAATAAAAGAAAAGAAAACTATAAATTGCAATATAAGCCTTGGTGGCAATGCTCTAAAGGCTTGATTTAAAATAAGAAACTAACAACAGGGACTGATATTCTCTCACTAATCAACTTTGTTAAAGTTTTAAAGCATAAATGAACTTTTGCTGGTCCCTGAATTTGCCATGATAAAAACATCTCCTGAAGAGATTGTCAAACCAGAACTGTTGACGTTTTTAGGACTTTTTAGGATTCAGACTTTATCAAATCAAACGAAACAACATTGATAAATCACAGTCGCTGTAGCCGGACATGCAGTGCACTGTACCTTGTTGAAGCTCCGTCCGGCCGTGTCTTTATCGTTGGGTTTGAGCTCCTGCAGCTGAGCGTCCAGTATATCCACCAGCTGCTCCATGAGCCGCACAGAGGAGCTGACGTCGCCCGCGTACACGGGACCCTGAGTGTGACGCGCCAGCTCGTTCGCCAGATTCGCAGCGTTCTCACCACTCCGGATCTGGAAGAGGAGCCAAAATCAACCCTAAACATCCAACTCAATTCATACTAATAGACCTGTATATCAGCTCAGAGAACATTTTTCCATGTACAATTTGTCAGTGACTTTTTTTGCTCACTATTGTATCAAAAACCCATCTCCAGCCTTGTAAATTTACATTTTCATTTTGAGTATTAATAGACCAAAATATATCAGTCTCATGCTTTCCCGATAATCATCAATCAAGTGTTAGTTCCTCTTTGTATTACACAATTTTCTTCATTACTTTTTGGTTTGTAAATGTGTAAATACCATGTGGAAAATAGTGTGTGTGTGTGTGTGTATATGTGTGATTTTAGAAATTTTATGTGTCTATTTTGCTATTATTACACTGCATCACATCATATCAGAATTATGTGACAAATTAAAAGCTGAATATATAGTGCATCTTGCTTTACCTGCAAACTTACAGTATACTCGTGCACAGAAATATACACTACAGACTGCAATAATGATTTTTTTATGTTTTTGATGAATTTTAATAATTCCAAACTTTTGACTGGCACTGTATACTATACAAATCTCAGCTGTGTGATTGTTAATCATTAAAAAAAGTCTATAAACAAATTTGCATAAATATATACAACATTATTTGCATACATACAGTACACTCATGCAATATACACTACAGAGTAAATTTTAACTGCATGACTTTTTTTTGTTGTTGTTTGCAAAATGCACCAACAGTACATGATCGCTCGGCTCTAATCTGCTAAATGCGACTATAGGGCATGAACTAGAAACATTAACATGATGATTTTCCGTAAAGCTGCTTTGCAACAATGTGAAAAGTGCTACAGAAATTATATTTACATTATAGCGGCTATTTCTGACTCACCTTCTGTGCCACCTGTGTCACCCAGTGGGATGTGCAGTTACTGAGATCAGGACCTTTGGGACTCCAGGTCCCGTCGGCAGACGTGCAGAGGAACAGAGCGATTCCTGGAGAACGACAGAAGGAAACTTGTTCAAGACTTTAAAGGGTTACTCCACCCCAAAATTCGGAACACAAATTAAGATATTTTTGATGCATTCCGAGAGCTCTCTGACCCTCCCATAGACAGCAATGTAAGTAACACGATCAACGTCCAGAAACGTAGCAAAGAAATCGGTAAAATAATCCATGTGACATCAGGGGTTCAACCGTAATTTTATGAAGCTACGAGAATACTTTTTGGGTGCAAAAGAAAACAAAAATAACGACTTTATTCAACAATCCGTCTTCTCCGTGTCACCCTATAGCACCATTTTGCAGCATATCCACTGAACGTAAACAGCGTATGCTGTTCTGTGTCAGCTGTGGCGGATACGTTTTCTACGTTTATTTACTCTCCAACATGGTGCTATAGGGTGACGCGGAGAAGACGAATTGTTGAATAAAGTCGTTATTTTTGTTTTCTTTTGCGCACAAAAAGTATTCTCATAGCTTCATAAAATTACGTTTGAACCCCTGATGTCACATGGTTTATTTTACCGATGTCCTTGCTACGTTTCTGAGCCTTGATCGTGTTATTTACATTGCTGTCTATGGGAGGGTCAGAGAGCTCTCGGAATGCATCAAAAATATCTTAATTTGTGTTCCGAAGATGAACGAAGCTTTTACGGGTTTGGAACGACATGAGGGTGAGTAATTAATGATAAAATTTTCATTTTGGGTGAACTAACCTTTTAATGTCAGACTGGACGACAGTCAAGACGCATTAAAAATTGGTGCGTGCAAGAAAACTTGTCCGGAGTTTTACATTATCAACCCATACAGTACATGTTCAGTGACTGCGAGCTGCATTACATGCGAGGCTGAAATGTTGTTGGCTATCATGAAAAGTATATGAATGACGGCAATAGCAGCGTATTTAAGAAGAATAGTGTAATAGTGTAGTCTGACTCGGCCAGAATTTCGTCGGAGGTCAAATTTGATTGCAAAGGCAAGCATTCGGTGAACATGTCAAACTAGAGATCAAAGACTACAGATTTTAGTCTAGGATTATAGGAATCTTTCAGTATTTTCAAAATTTGTCTCAGATGACCACATTGAGGCCAAAATCACACAACACTAATTTGCCCCGTTTAGTAAAACTGTCCCTAAAACTTTTGAAGGTGTTAAATCAAGACTATTTGTGACCCTGGAGCACAAAAGCAGTCTTTAGTCGCTGGGGTATATTTGTAGCAATAGCTAACAATACATTGTATGGGTCAAAATTATGGATTTTTCTTTTATGCCAAAAATCATTAGGATATTAAGTAAAGATCATGTTCCATGAAGATATTTTGTAAGTTTCCTACTGTAAATATATCAAAACTTAATTTTTGATTAGTAATATGCATTGCTAAGAACTTCATTTGGACAACTTTAAAGATGATTTTCTCAATATTTAGATTTTTTTGCACCCTCAGATTCCAGATTTTTTTAATAATTGTATCTCAGCCAAATATTGTCCTATCCTAACAAACCATACATCAATGGAAAGCTTATTCAGCTTTCAGATAACGTATAAATCTAAATTTAAAAAAATTAAAAAAATTGACCCTTATGACTGGTTTTGTGGTCCAGGGTCACATATCTGTCGGAGTTTGTAATCAAATATTTACGCTATGAAAACATTTTCTATTACAAACAACACTGCATAACATTTGCATATTAACTCGGCTACGGAATGCAAATCTTGCAGATCATTTGGACGTCTCCATATGGATGCCATTCAAATAAGAAACACCACATGCCGGATACCAGTACATGTGTCACTTCTGCACTAATGACAGCCAGATTCCTGACGCTGATTGCAGAAGTAATTCAAAAGCCTGTTTCCAGTGCGGACGCACCTCGAGTTCCTTTAGGACACGGCCGCTCCACCGTTGCTCCTCGGTGCGTCTGCGGCCAGGAGATTCCTCTCCTCTCCGTACCGTCGCAGAAGCGTCTGCTGGAGGGAGGCGGGCTGACGGCGCTGGGGTCAGGCGTGACGGTGATGTTGAGCGCATGTCTCTGGGTGATGCTGATAGCTGTGGTCCTGATGGGAGGTGTGGATCTTCTAGGCTGCACCGTTGATGTAACGTCATCAGAGACCGTTGGTACTGTGGGAACAGGAGAGAGATCATTTAAACAGGCTTTTTTTTTATGGATGGGCGCTTTGTATTTAACTTCTTTTGGACTGATGCTTGCAACACCCGCTGAGTGGCATTAAACAGCTTGAAAGATCAAAGACAATTTCCGACTGGATTCGTCTGAAAGAAGAAAGTCATATACACCTAGGATGACTTGAGGGTGAGTAATATATGGGCTAATTTTCATTTTTGGGTGAACTAACCCTTTAAAATAAAGTGTGACCATAAAATTATTACAATAAAACAATAAATTAAATATAAATAAATAAAATTGTTGCCAAAGCAACATTTCTCATTTTTGTTTAGATACTAAAACTTAACTAAAATTTAAACTGAAATCAAAATGAATAAAAAATATATTACTAAAAACTAGATATATTAAAAAAAAAAAAAAAATTGTTTATTTTGGATGCGATTAATCGCGATTAATCGTTTGACAGCACTAATTAAAATTCAAATTAAAATATACAAAATTATTCTGTTAAGTGAAATGAGCTGAAATAAAATATAAATATTAAATGGAAAAACTTTCATCCAATTAGAAATGTTTCAACACACTGAAATTAAAATTAAAACTGAAAATATAAAATGCTTACAATATCAGTAGATAATAAGTATATAAACATTGCTGCTACATGTTAGGCTAGTACATGTTTTGGGAAATAAAAATGCTTTAATTTATTATTAAGTTTAATTATTTTATTTACTCTCTTATTTACTTATTAATTTATTCCAAAATATTGTCAAAATGCATAATATTGTGAAGTGAGCGAATCATTTCACCCCTAATGTTCTCCATGTGTAGGCTTCGGTCTCCTTCACAACCCAAAGACATGCAGGTGAAATGGAGATGATAAATTGCCCGTAGACGTGTGTGTGTGTGTGTGTGTGTGCGTGTGTGTGTGTGTGTCTGTGTCTGTGTGCGTGTGTGTGTGCGTGTGCGTGAACCCTGTGATGGACTTTTCCCAGACTGTTTCTCTGCCTTCAGTTCGGGATGCAGGCTAGCTCCCAGCACTCCCACAACCCCATACAGGATAAACGGCAAGAAAGATGAATGGATAGATAGATTAAAAAAAAACTGTCTTGCAGTGTATTTAATCTGTAAAAACTCAAAGGAGTAGATATGAACATGTCCAGGAGTGATTCTGAACCGCTCTCATGTATAACTCCGTGAGTGTCTCCTCTGTGTTTGTGTGCTCCTGTATCAGACAGAGCAGCGACTGCATGGAAATCATCCATAATAATGAATATCACAAGATATGAATGTGCTCAGAATCAAATATTTCAGTTGCCTTTCATTTCAGCCACTGCTGAAGCCTGAAGAAAATCATTGGCAGATGGTGCATAAGCCCCGCCCCTTCACATGTCTGTCACGTCACGCATATAAAGAGGCTGCGCACCATCTTGTTCTTTCTGTGATACAAGGACAAACATGCTCTGGATGCTCAGTTGTCTTTTCGGTGAAGCCATTATTGAAGCCACTGAGACGTTCAGACCGACAGTCGACTGTATTCAGGGAAGCAGAATTAAACACATACAATACTTGCCAAAACATTACGATTTTTAAATGTTTTAAAGTCTCTTCTACTCACCAAGGCTGCATTTATTAGATCAAAAATACAGTAAAAACACTAATACTGTGAAATATCATTACAGTTTAAAATAACAGTTTTCTATGTGAGTACTTTGTAAAATGTAATTTATTTCTGTGATCAAAGCTGAATTTTCAGCATCATTACTCCAGTCTTCAGTGTCACATGATCTTCAGAAATCATTCTAATATGCTGATTTGGCACTTCTGATTATTATCTATGTTGAAAACAGTTGTGCTGCCCAATATTTATGCAGAAACCATGATATACCACCAACTGAATGTGTATATGTGCATGTTTTTAATAGAAAATAATGCTTTTATTCAGCAAATATGCATTGAATTGATAAAAAGTGACAGTAAAAACATTTATAATGTTTCAAATAAATGCTATTCTTTTAAAATCCTGTAAAAAAAATGTTTCCACAAAATATTAGGCCGCAAAAACATTTTTAAATAATAACAACCATTAATAATAACTGATCACCACAGATTAATTGAGCAGCAAATCAGCATATTAGAATGATTTCTGAAGGATCATGTGACACTGAAGACTGGAGTAATGATGCTGAAAATACAGCTGCGCATCACAGAAATAAATTACATATCAAAATATATTCAAATAGAAAATACTTATTTCAAGTTGTAATAATATTTCACATTTTTGATCAAATAAATGCAGAGCAGAAGACACTTCATTAAAAGCATTTAAAAGTCATAATGATTTCAAACTTTTGACAAGTGTAGCAAAAATGAATCACTCAGTATTCAAAGGAATGTGTGATATTGTTCTCAACAATATGCAATCAGTACATGTCTGTTAACATGTTAAAAAGATGTGCTTTAGGGCTTCATTCCCCCTTTATCACGAGAAATAAAATGCAGCATGTTGTAATATTGAGTGGATTCAGTGCTCGTTCTGTACGGTGATCCATGATGAATGCTAATGAAGGAAGCTGAACTGCTGGTTATCATTCTATTTGAAGCATTATAATGTAATCACAATAACAAAATCAACCATGGGCCTCTAAGACTGTGTGTGTGTGTGTGTGTGCT